AAAGAAATGAGCTTCGAGGAACAGATAATACCCAAGAACAATTATACGAGCATCTTCGCGCAAAACAGAGGCTATTGTGTTTCTTATCCTTAAAATATTTTGCGAAACACGTGAAAAAATATTTACGAACAGCTTAATGTTCTAAGCGTGGGATGTCTTCTTTCGAGTGTTCTCTGGTATGACTTTATGAATAAAAATATTTCCCTTCTTCCGTAACAACCGTAGAACTCTCTCTCATCTTAAATTGAGTTTTAAACGAAGACTTATCATAGTGGATGTAAGGTTTGAAAATCGGGTGGTATCACGTGGGTGATATCCTTAGATATACCCCAGTTTTAGGAGGGAAAATATTTGTTGAAGTGATGTGTTTAGATCAGTCACGAGCGAGTAGAAATATTCTATGGATCATAATCGACGATATACCTTAAGTAGAATTCCCCAATTTCAAGCTCTACATTTATGACGATAAGTCTTCGTTCAGTATAATTGATTGAAGGTGAGAGAGCGTTCTGTGGTTGTTAAGAAAGAAAGGACATGCTTGTTTGTTCATAAAATCGTACCAGAGAACAATGAGAAGTTAAAAACCCACGCAGTTAATGGTTAGCTGTACCGATAAACATTTTTTTCAACTAATTTGCAAAAAACATTGGAAGGATGATAAACGAAATAGCCTCCATTTGGCCCGGAAATATGCCCGTTCTTCGCTCTTTGAGGACGGGATTAGCTGCGGCTAACCTTTAGAAGTTCAGGAAACTCGCCACCGGTATTCATGCAAATTACCATTTGAAATCTGATAAATTAATTATTATCTGCTTGGTCTGCTTTCGTATCAATTCTCCTAAATTTCCCATGGCGAAACTGTTCTCGTTAACACATTCCGTAAGCTAGCATCAGACGTCTGTTTTCTTCGCATATTCGAACACACTTAAGTTTTCAGAAGGTTCTAGGACAAGACTGAGCTTCACTATGGACTTTAAAGAGGAAAATTCAATCATTTATACCGGTAGGCCAACAGTTCTTTACCGAAGACGTTGAAGACGGAAAGCAATCGGATACAACTGCATGTAGAATCTGATGAACACACTTAATAACGATCCTTCAAAAACATAGAAGGCCGACATCGCAAAATTATCGTGAAGAAGTAAAATACTCACAGCAGAAGACTCAAGTCTACTTAACAGCTAGTGTGAAAGCTGACGCAAATCCTACTGTAGGAACAACGACAGTGTGCAATTGTTTAAGTTTGAGGATGCCCTTTTTTAGGTCAGCAATTGAAGGATGCTTATTCAGGCACCGTAATACGTTTTTTGCGTAATTAAACATTTTTCTAGGTCTAATTTCAACTGAAGTTTCGAGAAGGATTTGGAACCCTTTTTAAATTTAAACATTTTCCAACTTTTTCCCATTGTTAATGTTGGAACACGAAATCTCCATGCTTGAACTGGATACTTAGCAACGCTATGATAAGAACGAGGAGTGTAACCAAAATTTTATGAACATGAATACTACTCCAATGTCTTACTACACCAGTAACTTACCAGGAGGGATTAACCTTCGATGCTGTGTGCAACCTCCTCTAGATGTTTTACCTACGCTTGAGAATTTCAATTTTTTTGCCAAAGAGATCGCTTCCGTTTTTTTGCTTGGCTTCAAGATTCGAACCCTGTTTCTGGTTCTTTGCTGCTTGTCACAATCATGATGTGTTTGCTCAATTATCATTTGAAAACGGCTCGAAACCAAACGGTATTATTGGGAAGAAAACAAAACGGATGGAAAAGCAATGACTACTGACTTAGGCATGAACAGGAAGTTAACGTCAACAAATCAGTTTTGTAAACATGATATGTAAAAATCCTAGTCGTCTCTAATATGTATGAATCACTTTCTCTCTGGGTTGAGAATTTCAGTTTTTTTGCCAAAGAGATCGCTTCCGTTTTTTTGCTTGGCTTCAAGATTCGAACCCTGTTTCTGGTTCTTTGCTGCTTGTCACAATCAAGATGTGTTTGCTCAATTATCATTTGAAAACGGTTCGAAACCAAACGGTATTATTGGGAAGAAAACAAAACGGATGGAAAAGCAATGACTACTGACTTAGGCATGAACAGGAAGTTAACGTCAACAAATCAGTTTTGTAAACATGATATGTAAAAATCCTAGTCGTCTCTAATATGTATGAATCACTTTCTCTCTGGGTTGAGAATTTCAGTTTTTTTGCCAAAGAGATCGCTTCCGTTTTTTTGCTTGGCTTCAAGATTCGAACCCTGTTTCTGGTTCTTTGCTGCTTGTCACAATCAAGATGTGTTTGCTCAATTATCATTTGAAAACGGCTCGAAACCAAACGGTATTATTGGGAAGAAAACAAAACGGATGGAAAAGCGATGACTACTGACTTAGGCATGAACAGGAAGTTAACGTCAACAAATCAGTTTTGTAAACATGATATTTAAAAATCCTAGTCGTCTCTAATATGTATGAATCACTTTCTCTCTGGGTTTATCGTCCATAATATATCAGCCAATAATAACTCTAAAATCACTCAGATATTTCCTATCAAAAACAAACAGGGATGGTTCGAAACTATGCTATATGTAAATAATTTATTCAAAAACGCACGGACAGTGCCTTTTAATCTGCTTTCGACCTTTTTTAACGGAAGATGATTTATTTAAAACGAAAGCTAGTTTTATAACTTCCCATTTCTTATAAAGTTGCAATTAAAGATATTTAGCGGCCTGATTGTGGGTATTTCAACGCGTTTTACAAAGAACCTTAAACTCTCATATGAGGTAAGTTATTGGCCGTCTCATGACTGTTGGAAAGACACAGGTGACATTCACGATGGAGAGCCTTTACAAATAGCGTATCTGTCTCTTTATTGTCCATCTAATGAGGAACCTAATTTAGCAATTTTTATGACCGTTCATATTACTGAAAGAGAAACATCAGTGGACTGCTATCCTTTTATTTCCCAACTTGAAGCATTGCAAAATGTCAGTAATGCGCACGAATGTCGATAAACTTTCGCGAGAGATCTGCCTGGCAGACAAAGCTCTGCTGCTTTAAAAGGACAATTAACGGAAATGAATTTGCTTTTAGTTCTTAATCTAGAAATGAAGATGTTGTAACTTTTGTTCCCAGAAACCTAGTTTGGACTCTGTAATGATGTTTATTGGCCTGATACAAGTCATCTTGGTCTTTTGGTTTGTAACACCATGTGAGAGTAACGTTTGCAGCCTGAAAACTGAAATCTGTAACTGCACTAAATTTGGTAGGACCCACGCATTCGTGAGAGTAAAGTGTCATTTTCATGGACCCATTCCGGCCAAAATCCCAAACAATACATTGACACTGTAAGTGATGTAAAAACGTTAATCGTCCTTGTTCTTTCTAGACGTGTCATCTTCTCTTTTGGTATGTTACCTATCACACACACACACACATAAAAAAAAAACGCATACACAAATTTATCGTAGGAAAAACCACACTGATCACAATATATAACCAGTCGCCTCGATTCACACGAAAGCACATTTCATTTTAGTATTCGCCACGTTAATACAATCGCACCCCCAGCTTCGTTTAAGAAATTTGCGTCAATTGAACTTGTGATTTTTTGTTAGCTTTCATGAATATTCTCTCTATGTACTTAACAGCTCGTTAATTCAATTTCACCCCAATTCTTGATAACCTATAACGATAAATTTTTTTTGTACGAACCCACTTTTTTATAGGGCACATTTCTCTTTCACAAAATTACCCATCTTGCTCATCTCTCGTTTGGGGGAAATTACACCACCATAGTTTGGATACGAACTCTTACACTTAGAGTTAAGAAATTCACGATCCTGTTTCCTCTACAAATTCTCTTTCTTTGCGTAAATTGCATGCTATTGCCTCCTTTTGAAATTTCACACCTTCTTTTGCGTTATTTTTGCTTATGTGGCATTGATTCAAGACCTCTCAATAACACTCCCCTTAGAAGGTAACATATATCTTTTACGTCGACTCTGCAAATTGCATTTTAATCATTTTCATTCTTTTAACCATGTTCAATTTATTCCTTAGAGATCTTTCGAGTTGTTCCCTGAACACAATTTCAGAAGACACTTTTAGGGACTTGATTGTTTTGAAGGAATTGTAAGTAGTAATTGAGATAAAACTGTCAAGTATCAAGAAAAATAGGCAGGATTGTTGAAACAGTTATTAGAAAAGGAACTTTCCCAGGTGACAAAATATTTCCCGAGTCAACTGTAAACGCAAAAAAGACCATTGGTTAGCAACTCAATAATTTTAACTGATAGATGCCTACAACTTTAGCGAATCAGAATGAGGGATTTGCACTTGGAAAATGTTCTTCTCCAAACGGTTTTTAAATTAAGGTAAGCGCAGTAAATTAGCGGGGAACATTTTTTTACTTAAACTTTTGCACCTGATCATGACTAGCTTTTTTGTGTGCTCTTTTTTCTTAGAGCCTTGCCAAATAACTCATTGCGGCACATTCCACGAAACACTTTCAAGAATATGAAGAAGCTGGATATTGTGTAAGGGAATTTCTAATTGTTGCATTTCAACAGTAAATTTGCATCGTATAGTCGAAAAAAATTTATTGAGGTAATTAATTACCTAGTCTTCATTTCCTAACATTCGTTGACATTTTCTTTCCAGAAATCTGGAAATGAATTCAATTTCAGGGAATTTTTACCTTCCTCCAAGCCTTTCTATACTGTGAGTAATTAAAGTAGATGAAAGTTCATCGTAAAGTTCAGATTTACCTATGCATGCCATCTTAAAAAAGTCATACTATGTTTTATTTTGTCTTGTTTATTTTGATGTTTCTCGTTAGCTCATTCTCATAAAAAAAGGGATGTTATTTGTTCATGGATGAGACACAGTGACGCAAATGGAATGAGGCTGCGTGAGTCATCATAACGCCGTTAAATTCATCAAAAAGCTAATTAATTTTAAGTATTTTATTTGCCTAGTAAACTCGAACACAACCTAATATCAATTGCGGATGTAAGGGTCATTCTCAAAGGACTAACACGGCTTCGGAAACTGTAAGTGTAATTTTTCATCCGGAAAAAAGCTTTAAAAAAATGTAATTAAGATATAGTTATCCTAGAAATAATGTCATAACAAGAGAGAATAAACCTTATCCTCGATCTCTTGCGTTATCATTATTCTGCCAATTATTTCTTTTGTATCTTGTTATATCACTCGTCACATTTTATTAAGCACGAATATTTGCCGTCTGTTTTTATGTCATGTCGACCTACCTGAATGTAGAAGAGAGTTTTTACTGATTGCAAACGGTTCACTTTACAGATACCTTAATTCAAATCCACTTGGACCATCTCTGCCAGCAGATATCTTTGCTGTTTTTAACGATATGAAATATCTGTAAGTTAAGTAGTTCAACATACAAATCACCACCATAGAACAAAGTTTTAATGTTTGTCTCATGATATAGTTATTCCCGAAGTTGATTGCAACACTTGGACTGCGAACAAGCGAGCGAGCCAGCTCTGGTTGCTTTTCTCTGTAGCAGAGCAGAGGTTTACATCATCAACAACCAATGAGCACTCAAAGTGAAAACTCAAATTCGGGAAACGCGGGAAAACGCGGGCGACCAAGTCACGATAGGTTTTCGTTTGCATCTGATAGGTTACAAGGATGATGCGAGCTATGTAGATCAGTCAAAGACTGACTTTGCAAAACCAAAACAAAATTTTGGATTAAATTTTAACACTCAATTGAAAATTGCTCTATGCATGGAACTGCAAATTATTGGTCATGACCATCGCTGAGTTCACTTGCTTGAAGGTTTCGTCAAAAGATAGAGTTAGATGAATGCCTTTTTCAGTAGAAGCGCGTTTTGAAATAGAAGATAATTCCTCTCCACTTGGCTAATGAAAGATATTCTTTCATATCTTTTCACAGAAAATTTCCAACAGTGTCCTTAATTAAGACACCTACATTTCAAAAACAGACATTCATTGACAAATTAAAAAAAAATTCTCCCGAAGGCAGTTTCTTAAATCAGGAAACTTTCGATAACGTGATCTCAGTCTTGCTCAATTTTTTCTACAGCACCAACCTGCTTTGTGTTGATTTTTTTATTTTTTATTTTTTTTAATAACTTTTGTATGTAGTTCCATGGAAAATTGCGACTTGGAGAATATACAAAATGGAACTTTTCGGTCGATGCAACAATTACAAGACCTGTAAGTAGTATTTGACGGTATGTTTTCATATTCCAAAAAGGTAAACAAATTTTCTTCAAATATGCTACAAGAGCTAATGTGGGCGCCACCATTTCCAAGACAATTATTTAACCTGTCCACGCACGCAAAACTACATATGGCGCGGTTTACAAACAGCTACTGCGTTGTATTTCCTCTGGGTCAAGTATTCTCACTGATCGTCAAGCGTCAAGTTTATGGGGGGAAGGGAGGCTAGGAAGGGGGAGGAGTGGGCAAGGTAAGATTCAAGTGGCGGAGTTCACTTTCGAATTGACAAGTACACTTTTAATTGCGAAGATAATAAATTTATTTCATTAAAATGTGGACACACCTCCTTAAACTAGTTAAAATTACTGGTACTGAGTTCTAAATCGGGCACACATCATTTATCACATCCTTGACAAGTGGCAATCAAGTTTACCGCAGAAAACCAACAGCACGCAATTTTACGTTGCTAATATCGAGTTTAAAGGGACTATGTAAGTTTCTAAAGAAACTGTGGTGCTGCTTCGGTGGGAGAGTATAACAGGGTAATCTGGTACTACTTCGCTGACGAAGGGCTAACGCTCGAAACGTCAGTTCTTAAATCCTTAACTATGGTCAATTTACGTTATCAACTTAGTTGATAGTACTAAATTACCCTGAAATTTTTTGTTCAGTTTATTATGCGACATGACATCAATGACATGACAATGACAATTATATCATGATTAACTTTTCGGTTTTCAGTACACTGTCTAATAATAAGCTGACACATATAGACAAGGGTACATTGGAAGGACTTACGGATAACCTCGCTAATTTGTAAGTATGGTAACTATAGACCATCAGTCTTTGAAAAAAAATGTGAAATTATGGAAATCATATCAAACTCACAATTAACAAAAGCCTACATCAAATCTGGGCGACCCCGCCCCCACTACTTTGTGTCTCTAGAACACACAAAATCTGGAACCTTTGGCTCGATTACTAAGAGACCTTTTGATAGTGATTAATTTTACCAACAAAAAAAATTTATAACTTCTTTTGAAATACCAAAGCTTCAAGCTTTAAGGAGTCAAAATTCAATTTTTAATATTCCGATAAGGCAATTTACGAAGGCGTTCAGAGTGTCGTATCAGGGTTAGCCCGTAAGAATGGGTCCTAGCTCTTTCGCGCATGTTCAAATCTCAATTGTACTGCCACATTCGAATGGAGCGAGAAATTTTCTTTATTTTGGTATATAATTCGTCTAGTTTGCAACCGATTTAGTTGGGTCAAATGGCCGCTCAAGTTGGAGCACTCTCGCTGGTTTTACTTCTGGTTTTCTACGGATCCGTAAAAGCCGTGGGAGAAAGATCAGAGGGTCCAATAACAGGATGATTTTCCGGCCATTCGTTACCCACGTTTACATGCAGTATGAAAAAGTAAGTAGTCTCATAAATAAATGAAGCGATTTGATTTTTTTTTCCTTTTGTTCCCGGAGATACGGCATTTGTTGCTAGTAAGTCTCGAATATGTCTGATACCAGTCGTGTTTAACAATTTTTCAGCTATCTTCTCTACACAATTGCCAAAGAGAATGGGGAGGGAAGTGGCGAATCTACCTGCGCTGTAGTTGTGGAGAAAACCATGTAACAAACGGGCGTTAGAGACATCGTCGTCGACAATCGAATAACAAATGTATTCAAGAAAAAGATTGGGACCATGTGTGCAAAGCCAAAGCGAGCAAGAGGAAAAGTGGAGGTTTTGATGTCGAGGCTCATTCTAATAATCATTCTGTCAAGTTATTTTATAACGAGCTAGATAATTACTTTATTGAAAACGAGCGCTAGAAGAATCTTTACAGAACGAAACTACCAAGCGACAGAAACTTGAGGAAGGGCTCGACGACACAGAGAGAAGCTGCAAGTATCACAAACTGAAAAAGATCCCAAAGATTCCAACGTGGTAAATTTGACTCGCTTTGCGACTTTGTCTACGACTGTCACAACGACAGGATGAAAGTTTACGGTCGTTGGTTTTTGTTCTTGTCTTCTTCTTGAATAAAAGCCTAGTTGAAAAGACCTCATCGGGGTATCGTTTTGGGACTCTCCTTTCCCTTGCAGCCGCCATGTTTACTGTTACGAAAAATTGTCTAAGTAAAGTCCCAAAACATTCTAATAGAACATTCTAGAACCCGAAGTCATCTAGACGTGACCTTCTGGTAAAGAGAACATTCTGGAACGTTCTATTTCTTACGTAATTATTCAAATTTAGAACCCTGTTCATCTTGACTAATAAATTTAGTTCTTTAGAGAAGTTTCTGGATCCTTATACTTTATGTATATAAGAGCGACAGTTCCATCGAACAGAGAGAGAGATTTGCGAAGAAGCTTAGTGCTATAAAAACAAGAAGTCAACTACGCGGAAATAAAACAGTTTGTTGTTGTTACCGACGATCCTGAGTTTTGTCTGGGAACAACCCTGCTCTACATCGACACTCGTAACATTTACAAATGTAAATTGTCACTAATGCGATTGATACTCTGATGCGCAAGCGCAGTAGGGAAAGCGTTGTTCGCGCCAGCCTGAAAGCCAATTAGAGCAAATGTTCACGCTTATGGGAAATAAGTTTGATATGCCTGGCGGCACCCATTTGCTGTGGAAAAATTCCATTTCCTTCCTTTGAAATTTGAAATAGCACTTCAAGACAAGACCTTTCAAGCTAATTGTATTCATATGCTTCAAACCTGAGAACAAGTTTGAGGAGTGAAAGGCATAAGAGTCCTCAACCTTCATCGTGGAGAGCCAAGAAATTTATTGTTTCTGTTCGAAAACATGGTCGAACTTCGGGCGTGGAGCAATTTTGTTTCTATTATTGACTCTCGAGCGTTTTGAACAGTCCGGGTCATAACCATTTCTGGATACTTGATGACGTCACCAACATGGATGTCGGAGTGGGACCTCGAGGAAACTCACTCATTACTTTATTCGAGCCCTAGCGACTCTGTTCCCTACCCATATCCCATGAAACCTTACAAAATTACAGAAGACAAGCAATTACACACAACAAGCAAAGAACTGATGGTGGTCGCAATGACGAGAAGGAATAATTCAGATGAAAAGTCGGGTGGAGGTTCATGTTGCGAAGGGCTCGATCGAGGAGTAACCTCTCTTTAGTTGAGGTTTTCAGGTATGCAACATTTGTTTTGATTCCTAAAAAAAATCTTTTAAAAAACTAGAATAAATTTGCTTTCAATTTGTCAAAATTCCAATCGAGTGCACGAGGTTTTTGCTCGAGTGGACGAATGTTGAAAGTCTGTTAGTGTGCAAACTACCAGACGGATTCCTTTGTTCAGATCCATCGGAGTATCGTGTAAACCATAAATTTTAACCATACGTTGTGGCCGGCCAATTTAAAGTAAAAGGACAATTATTTATCGGACCTTTAAAAGCCTACATTGTGAATTTCAGATCAAGCCAACAGCATGGATGAACACATTCAGTATCTCGAGACACTGTCGTCTTTGTGGCACAAATCTGCCACGGACCTGGGTCAGTGCTACAAACAAAGAATCTTTTAAATCGGAACTGTGGATGAAATTTCGAATCAATGTCGATCTTGACATCAGAGAGATTCATTCAGCCAAGGCGAATGCACACTAAAAAAATAATTTCAGGAAATCACGGATCTAACACATAAATGCGATTATCCAGCGAGTAAGTTCTCCTTCGGGCAAACATAAAACAAAGAGGTATTCGTTCACTGAGCTCTCATATCTTCAGGTATCGTATCCGGGAAAAGTGCGATAAGAGCGGCATGAAGATGAAAATAAAGAAATCACATCGGTGGAAAGCCTTGCCGAAGTGTCTCTATTACAGCATTCCGGAAACAAAGGTTGGAGTTTAACTACACGAACTGATGAGAGTGAAATTTTCGTCTAAAACCACAAGGGACTTCTCTGTAATTGTGAAACTCGTTTAGAAACACCGCTCGTGCTTTCACATTTTGCAGTGATTACCTAAACAAACTTTCTATACAGGATGTTCAAATCAAAGGGTAATTGTCAAGGACATATCATTGCTGACTAAAAGCTGTAGGACCGAATTTGTAGTGTTCTGAGACCTAGATTCTCCCGCGAATCGATCAATAGCGCGCAAAATACCTTGTATGATTCTCTTGCATTGAATTCGAATGTGTATTCGTCTTAATATAGATTGTGACTACTTGCTTTTATTTTATCCCACTCATGTATTTATTGGCGTTTATTTTCCGGGTATCATAATTTCAAGATCAAAGCTCCACGTGGAACGCTGAATACTTCGTCCACGTGGAACACCGCTTGTTATTAAAAGTGAAGACGACAACACGTATGACTCGCATGCACTAGCTTGTCTTCTTCCACGAGAAATGGAACGCATTCCAGAGGCTCTACGAAAAGTCCAGATTTTTAGCAAATCGCAGAGAAAGAAATACACTTTAGGAGATGTCAAAGGGCAGCAGATCGGCACGGTTCAGCACTTTCTAAACATACAGCTGCATGCTTTGCTCCGATGTGGCAAAATAACCAGGAATTGAAGGGTAAGTTACTGTTTTCTTACTTTACTGTTACTTTTCTTAAAGGTTTGATGGACTGAATTTGATAATGTCTATTTAAAAATCGGAGAGAAGCAAGATATTGTCTTTCCTCGACCTATACTGGAGAAAAATTAAATTGTCCCGATTCCGCGATCTCACACCTCACTCGTCCCAATTGTTATCAGTGCGCGTTATTTGGTTCAACCTTATTTAATTGGTTTTCTTGTAACCCAAAATAAGGAAATCAACGGAGAACGGTCAGTAACATCGAGGCTAAGCTCTACCCAGAAGTTCTCCAGATACAAACAGGCTGGCGGAGGAGCTTGTTTATTCCTGTGACGCTCTTGGTGGAAGGACCACAGCGTTACAAAGAATTTGTGATGGAAAGAATCCGCTGTACTCTTCCAGAATGCGAGAATGTCGAGGACATGCATGTGGAATGTTTGAAATAAACGAATATTTTTAATGGTATCTTACGTCCAGTCCTTATTAGTGAATTTTGTTTCAGCTTACTACCGCATTACAACATGGCCGCCACAAAACAAAAAAACAAAAAAAAAAAGAGCTTCTTGTTTCCAGCACCTCTCGGCCAAATTTGCTTTGTTTTCGTTTTGATCTCACCCAATCACAAAGCTCGAAACCGATATCCAGAAATGGTTATGGCCCGAACTGTTGAAGGTAACTTAGTATAAAAGGTTGTGTTTCTAAGGTCAAGAGTAGCCTAGGAAGGATTGCAAACTTTTTCAAATAACACTAACAGTAGTAACATTATATTCAAGGATTTCTTTTTCTGTTATGCTATGTTTGTCACGTTCCAGGGTTATAGGGAAGTTTCTCTGAAAGCTTCGATTTCATATTCCAGCCACAGTTTCCTTTGCTCGCGTTCAAGCATATAAAGCTTGGCTCATTGGGGTAAATAACTTGTAAATATTTTCCTAATGGGTTATAGGGTCCTTGATCACAACAGACTGAAGACGATAGGTGATGGAACTTTCAAGCAATTTATCTCTCTCGAAATATGGTAAGTAACTCACAGAACGGAAAAAGGGAGTATCGTTATTCAAGCATGATCTGTGGAAAAAAAAGCTCATTTGAGAAGAGTTATAATCTTATGCTGTTATTTGCTCAACAGAGAGCTCCAAATAGCAAAATTACATCGAACCGACCGCTCCATTTAAGAGCCATTTCCAAACTCTTGACGGCCATTTTCTTGGGCCTCTCTACCTCTAGGGTTCCAAGTTTATCTTTCTTTTGTTTTATCTAAGTAATGTAAGTCACGTGAGTCATTTACGGATTGGTCTGTAAAAGACACGTTTTGAACGTTTTAAAATTGAAAGTTAATATAGAACAGGGGGGAAACATCTCACCCTCGTCCAGTGCTATAGCGCTCAGGTTTGCTTTGGTCACGAATCAATGAACGTGGACTGTGATTGGTCACATTTCGTAATTGGCCCAATCTTTAGTCGCGAAATACGCTAATTCATTGCATTACCACGAAGTCAACACTTCAGGGTTAGGAAAGGGAAGGGGCGTATTATTTGGTAGTGTTCGCGCCTGTCCCTTTTGTTTTCTGTTAATTCTTTTAATTAGCCAATCAGAGGGTTCAGTGTTTGTTCTCGTCACACAACACCATTTGTGAGTTTCGTGACGTGACCAAACAATTGCTTCCTTGGAGACTAGCCAACTGAGTGGATTTCTTCCACTGGAGAAATCAAAACCAAATATATTTGCTTTGAAAGAGAACCTGAGCTTAATAATCAAATCATTACAACTGTTTGTGTCTTTTTTTCCCAATTTTCTGAATCTTCTAGTTTGTTGAGCAATAACAACCTGACATCTGTTCCAGATTTGAAGCGTCTTGCATATTCCAAAAAAGTGTAAGTTGCTATGATTTGTTATCATTGTGTATCTAGGTGGTAGGACAAGGGATCTGGAATTTACCAAGATCCGACTGGACAAAATGGTTAGTGCATTTGAAGGAAAGCACTTAGTTTATCGAAGAGTTTGGTTTGTTCCCGACTTTACTTGCAAGCAAAAGTTGCCGAGAAATAATTTGTCCCATTGCCAACAAAGTCATGCAATCAGTTTCTTGTCTTGGTCCCTTCATCATCGTGTCTCAAAATTACCACCGACAATTGGCGACGAAATTGTTGAACTGGTTATTATGTTGGTTCAAAATAAATAAATATGTTGGTTCCAAATAAACCCGTGAAGTAGTGAATAAATGACGGTAAATATATGGAATGAAAATAACATATGTGAAAGGCGGTTGATGAAACGAATATGGAAGCGATTCTCGCAGTTATGAACACTACTTAAATAGTCGTGAAAATAAGGCCTGAAAAATTTCAGGCCTGTACTGGATTTGGACCCGAAATAGACTGAGTTCGTCAGCCAAAGGATTTGGGTTGCTGTCATGATTATACTCATCTGCAACACCTCGTTACTAGTTAGATTAGTTACTAGTTACTAGTTAGATTAGTTAAATGCCTCTTGGACTAATACGGTAAAAATTGGAAAATTTACCGTCCTCACAAATGTTAGGAAAATATCATCACTAAACAAGAGTCTATCTATCGTCAAAATATCAAAGTGAATTTTAAATCAGCGCTCAGAACTTGGATTTTTCTGCATTATGACCTTTCTTTTTTCAGAAACTTAGAAAATAACCAGATCACAGATGTAACGAAAATCGTAACATCAGGAATTCAGATAGTTTTTGAACTGTGAGTATTTGATTCTCTTTGAGGGACACAGCATTTTTTACTATGTTTACATGCATCAGGCCAAGGTTTGGCTAAGGTGAAGAGCACTTTAGCCCTAGAACTAATATAACAGGTACTAACTGGAAGTATTTTAAGATTTTGCGCAAGGAATGAAATTTTGTGAATGTTTCTTTTTTCTCGTAGATATCTACGTAACAATAAGATCGAGTACCTACCACCAAACATCTTTCAGAATACTATTGTAGTAGCAAACCTGTAAGTAACTAAAAACAAAACCAAGAAGGAGTTGTTATCTTGCGACTGTCTTTTGATATTTTTGCCCGTGAAATGACGTAATACTAAGTGAAAACGGACGCGATACAACTTTCTATTTTTACTCGCGATCGGGGTCTATTATTTTCACTGGGTTTATGGTGAGGTAAGGGGGGGCCGGTTTTTGTCGCTTGCCCCGCTGGCTTTTCTTCCTTCTACGATTCTTGCTTTTTTACTCAAAATAAAAGGGGCAGGCTCCCTGGGCCCCTCCCCTAAATCCGCCACTGGTAATACGATATATGGAATACTGAAATCTGAGTCCACTTACAAATTGTAGACATGTTGGTTGCATATGATCATTTCTAAACTCTTTTTCAGAAAAAGCAATTGGGTTTATTTTCTTGTTAATAACTTTATTCATCTTATCTTTTTATAGTGATTTGTCGTTCAACAATCTGCAGTCATTACCAGATAACGTATTTGATAAGCTCGACAAATTAGATATTCTGTAAGTAAAAGGGAAAGGTATGGCAATTTTGAAAAAACATTCAATTTACTTCTCCCAATCGACGCATACATTCAGTAATCTATCGATTCAAAATTTCCATATCCCTTAAAAAGAGCGATGGGAATATTAGCCACCCAATATAAACCAAATTAATAATTCTCTGCATTTTTTCCGTGTACCTGGTCATTTGCCCCATAAAGGATTCATATACTATCAATTCCTTTTTCTCAGTTTTGTTGCCTACAAACTGCATGAAGTTAATAAGCCATACTAGTGTAATGAAACAAGTTATGCATGTCCCACAGGGAATAAAAAAACAGTTCTTCAAATGATAAATATAGCGTATAAAGGCCTAGCTAACGTCCGCAACATTTCAGCTGAACATCTTGCAACATTGTGGCGCACAACATTGTGGCACGCGTTTGGCCAACTTGTAACAACGTGTTGCAAGACGTTGGATGATGTTAGATCAAGTTTGAAAATTTAAAAATTCTTGTTACAACATTTTTGGGTGTTGCAAGATTTTTTTGCTTGTTTGGACAGCTCTTTTACAATATCTCACAACACGATCCAATAATGATGCAAGATGTTGCATTGAAGTGTTGCGTGCGTTTAATTTTTGAGCAGTCCTTAATATCACGAGGCGTGCGTTACGGGCTTATATCTCTATGTAATTTATCGAATAGGACCTATTCCGATGTATATACGTTTTCTCTCTTTGTGTACTTCACTTCTTAAAATTTTCTTTTACTTTTTCTTTAAGGATGCTTAGCTTCAACAACATCACTTCCATTAATAAACGCACCTTTAGTGGACTTTCAAATTTGAACACGCTGTAAGTTTGCTACAGAGGTTTTAGTTCACAGTAATGTAGCGAACGAAGGAGTTACTTAGCTGATTTACACCGGGTCTAACCCAAACCCCTTTCTTACATGCAAGGAGAGGGGCTTACGTTTCCTCTATGATTGGATTGTTTTTATTCCATGAATGTCTTTCAACTGCCAGCTTTCGGCCCTCGTGACACTGTTCACAGAGTGAATGTTTAGATGAAAGATTCAGCTTAATTCAGGATATTTTATGACGAAGTTTTGTTAAACAACGGCTAAACTTTGTTCAAATAACCGGCCCAATAAGTTTTACATTATATATTAATAGTTTATTAGGCGTTTCGAAAAATGACAACATAGATTTGTCTCGATTAGAACTATGTAGCTGTAAAACATAGGGCATGCGCAAGGGGTAAATTTTGGTCAGCCGCGCGCAAGCTCCCACTCAAAAGCTCAAAGGAAAACTTTGGAAACAACCGCTGTCACGCCAATTACGCGAAAAAAAAAATCGCAACAAAACAGTGATACATTCATGTATAAGGTGTTTCCAAAGTTCGTTCCGATTTTGAACTTGTTAATTTTCTCAACAAATAAATTGATTGTTAGAATTTTATCAATAAATTGAAGCAGAGAATTTGTTACAATTGTTACCAATAGCAATTTTAATTGTCTGCTAGTTGCCTTTGTTTTGCGCAAAATCTGCATGCGTGCGTTTTCCCATCATTTTTCGCGCCATTTGTGTATGTTGTTCCTTTCCCGAAATTTTTGATATTCTCTAGTATTAATTTAAATAAATGATGAAACGTTAGAAGAAAACAAACCGGAACGAACTTTTGAAACACCTTGTTAATCTGTAAAAGGAAGTAAACTGGGGAAAGAGAGCACTAAAAACTTTTCGCACTCAAAGCTTATTTGATTACGGGTTTGCTGCTGAAGTGCCATTTTATGTTGAGCTTTACCACAAAAGTTGTACGGTGTCCAACACGGCGACTTACTCGCTTGTGTGGTTGTTCTTTAAACAACTTGTGTTGAAAGCCTAAAAGCACGCCATCTAGCCTTGAAAACGTTCGCAGATGCACAGAAGTTTGACTGCCGTGTTGATGAGAATATAATAACACGGTATGACGTTCTATATTCACTCGAAGTTTGGATAACAACCTCTATAAACAGTATAGAAGTCAAAACACATGTGGATATTCTCCTCTGAACACTTGGGGAATTCATTAAACATAAGAAGCTACGCAAACACGAAAAATAAATACATTTAGGCGAAATATCACGTCGCTTTTCCTTGTTTACAAATTAAAGGTAGAAGACGAGACCCATATTTTAATGAATTAAATGTTAATTTCATAGAGTTATTTTATCGTAACCATATCCGGAGACTATGAATAGTTTCAAATAAACGAATTGACCAGTCTCATTCTATAATTCAACTACGCGTATTTCTATATTTGTTGTGAATGACACTTCACGTGCGACATTATTTTCTTATGGGTTTCATGTTTCCTTTGAATTATAATTTTCAGAATGCTTATCAAAAACAATCTGGCATTTATTGCCAAAGACGTTTTTGATGGGACTCCCCTTCTCAAGTCACTGTAAGTATAAGTTTCACTCCATGTTGCAAATTTCTAAGTATCAAGAGCATAACTAGGAGAGTTTGGTAACTAAGCTAATGTTTTTATGTTGGAAATGGCTTTGAAAATTGCATTTACTTGATGCTAATAACTCATGCAAGTTTTATCATTTTTATTTGCTTGCAAATTACATCATTCATTAATACGATATTTTCATGATTGTTCCCGATTGGAGATTTTGCTTCACCGAAGTGGTTTTTTCTTCTTCTTCAGGTTTCTTCACAGTAATGCAATTAAAACCATTGAAAGCAAAAGCTTCGACAGACTTGTTCTGAGGCAGCTGTAAGCAAACTGCAGCTTAAAAGTTGAGATGCGATACATAGGAGAGATTTATCACCGCACGGCAAGAGTGGCCACGACGAGTGTCCGCTTTCGCCGTTTGCCTTGTACATAAGATTTTCTTCCCTTTTTCTTTCACCGAGAAGAGGTTAATTCCTGGAAAAAAATTTTTTCAAAACTATTTCTTGTAGGTGATACAAGGGTAGATGAAATTTCACGGTTAAAATCATTTCACAACCGAAGTGAAGCGAGCTTACACGAAGCTAAAGCAGTAAGGTTTATGTGGAACGTGAAAGGACAAGCTGAAGTTTGCCGCTTCACGTAAACGCGGTGCTAAATCTTCCTAATTAATTAATTTACTCGCATGACTCAAGCTAAACGTTTTTGTTGAAATGGCTATCTTTAAAACAAGAAGGGGAAATGGTGGGAACGGGGAATGGGAGGGAACGGGGAATGGGGAATGGGGAATCTTTAAAAGGAGGAAACCTTTAAAAGCTGGAATCTTTAAAGCGGGAATCTTTAAAGTAAAGGAATCTTTAAAAGAGGGAATCTTTAAAAGCAGGAACCTTTAAAAGGAGGAATCTTTAATTAAAACAGAGAATCTTTTCGTAAAATCCGTTCCTTTTTTTTACCGTTCTTCCTTTTACTGTTCTTCCTTTTTTCCGTTCCTCCTTTTACCGTTCCTCCCTTTTACTGTTCCCTCTTTCACCGTTCCCCCCTTTTTACCGTTCCCCCCTTTTGCCGTTCTACCTTTTACCGTTCCACCTTTTACCGTTCTACCTTTTACCCTTCCCTCTTATACCGTTCCCCCTTTTACCGTTCCCCCCTTCTACCGTTCCTTCCTTTTACCGTTCCCCCCTTTTACCGTTCCCCCCTTTTACCTTTCACCCATTTTACCGTTCCCTCCTTTTACTGTTCCTCCCTTTTTTACCGTTCCCTCCTTTTACCGTTCCCCCCTTTTACCGTTCCTTCCTTTTACCGTTCCTTCCTTTTACCGTTCCCCCCTTTTACCGTTCCTTCCTTTTACCGTTCCCCCCTTTTACCGTTCCCCCCTTTTACCGTTCCCCCCTTTTACCGTTCCCCCCTTTTACCGTTCCCCCCTTTTACCGTTCCTCCTTTTACCATTCCTCCTTTTACCGTTCTCCCTTTTACCGTTCCTCCTTTTACCGTTCCCTCATTTAAAGATAGTCACTTTTAGGTTACTCGAAGGAGGGTAGCAAAGAGTAAGGGAGGGGGATGGGGAGTTCCTGATCCTGTTTCACGCAAAAAGTCATACGTCACGTATTTGAATGAGAAAACTTGCAATCTCTCTTCTTGTCTTCAAGGCTTCGGGCAAGGACTAAATAAATTCACGGGTCCCATATATTTCAGGAGGCAAATCATATCCCACGCTGACATTAGTTCACGAATCACGCTCGCCTCTGTAAAAATCTACGCATGGCGTTAATTTTGGCCTTTATTAATCACACATCACTTACAAACCTTTTGCCTTCCTCTTGAAGATGTCTTATTTCTGTTTTCGTTGAGATGATACTCAAAAAGTCCAAAACATTCATAAGAAAAAGAAACAAACGGCGCACATAACACTGTCTGGGACCCCAGAAATGCATTAACTGTGTAATGAATTAGTATTTCACTTTCAGAACCATTTTTGACAATCCTTTACCACTGTTGCCAGATGGAATTTTCGACAAAATGACAAACAATACTAAGGTGTAAGTAAAGACGGAAAGTTATACACATCAAATAGCTTAGATAATCACAACAGTATTGCCAGTCCTCCTTGTTACTTTCATGTATCGCCATTACATTATTGTCATTATTATCCTTGCTGTTGACTTCATCACTGTTACCCTTATCGACTGTCCTATTGACCATTTGTTTTCCAGTTTGGCTGCAAGCCCAGAGTGTTTGGTGTTTTTTATGTTTTTTGTTTTTGTTTCTTAATGCTTATGATTTTTTATGTATTTTGTTGTTGTTGTTGTTGTTGTTGTTGTTTTTTTATGTTTTTAAAACCCATGTAAGATTCAGCCACGTAAGCCGCTTGGCTAATTGATCTTATTACAATTTCCATAATGATTGCGTTATTTTTTCAATCTTTACAACTTAGATTTATTTTATTCTTAATCTAATAATTGACAGATCATTGACGTGTAAAAATCTTCTTCAGCTGCCTCGAGGAAGATATATGGCGACAATGTAAGTAGGCCTTAAATTCAATTTACTCTACACACTATAGGCAATTCAATAATGCACATCTAAACTAATAAATATCCAACTTCGTGCAGGTATTTTTCGAAAAAAAAAGTTATTCACAGCCAGCCTTGGTATAAACCTCTGCCTCGCCTAACCAAAGCATATTTCAATTCTTCAATTTCGATTGGCTCAATAAAAAAGCTATAGCAGTTGACCGTGGACCAGAAGATGGTTGGTATGCGTTTTTTCCCTCCATCATTGCATTTGTCTATCATACTTTTCGAGCTCGTTCATCTCCCAATATTGTCGTTTTTCCCCGTTTCCTTAATTAATTTTTGCCTCAGTTTCCCCCTTGGTACAAAATAGGCAAGCCATACTATTTTGTATCACCGAGCCTTTGATATGTTGTAATTTTCTAACCTTCAGAGAATGTGCTCCTTCGACTTCGCTGCATGTTACTTTATCTGGAGAACAAAGCTCCTTCCGAGCTGGCTGGAAACGCTCAGGCTTTGAATGCCGTGATTGTGACTCACACCATGTACCTACTTTTCCGCACAGAGACTCCAGTTGCGCTGATTGCAGTCTCTGTTCCGTTGGTAACTATACCAGTGAAACAGGCTGTGTCGAGTGTCCTGCAGGTATTAATGAGTACTATTATTTTATGGTTAAGTTTCGTTTATGCAGAGACTTTAAGAATAATTTTTTAGAAACAAGCATCTATATCTAAGGGTAAGCTCGAAGCATTGTAAATTACGGCTAACAGAGAAAGAAAAAGGTTCTTCAATGGGGTGAGACCCGGTTATTACATCAGTTGGCCTCTTAGTGAGCCATTCTGTGCCTACAAAGTGGAGGAAACTATAATTGGCCGAACTACGATGCAACTATTATTGACGTTGTCATTGACACAAAACTAACAAATGCGATTAAAGAAACAAGCGGTGAAATTCTTCAAAATTGTTTGCAAGCCTTGCTCACTTTGGCCCAAAGAACAGACTGGCTCAATTGAATTCAGGGGTAAGTCACTATTTATCGCCTTCGCGTAGGAGTCGAGGGGGAAGGTCGGAGGATTTTTGTAAAGAGGGAGGGGGAGTGGGATATCGCACAAAATATCCATCTATAAATCATATCTTGTAAAGCTCCACTTTGCATAACTTGACAAACTAGAAATTTCAAATACCGTTATCACTTTTCTTTCTTTATTGATGTTACCTTTGTTAACTAAGAACTGCTCAAACTGGATCCTCCTTGAAATTCCAATTTAAAAAAAATAGTCATTCTGCAAAATAAACTCCCACGACATTTTCGTGCTACACGATAGTAAATATTCACTAAATGAGATAAACTGTCACCTTTTTCTTGCAGTATTCTTTGCATTTAATCCTTTCACTCCCAAGATCTCATTAGTAATTCCTCCTACTGTCTGTCATTAAATACTCATGATGTCAGTTTGGAGAATTTGGTATTGAATCAACTTGTAGTCCCCTAGTTGAGTTTTCTGCTTTATTCTCCTCACTTGTCTGCTTGATACTGTATTGATATTGCAAGGAGAAATTCTGTCTTGGTCACTCATGGGAGCTAAAGGGTTAAATTTGCCTAATACAGCCTATTTACTGTTATTAAGTGAAAAGTGATACTTGGTAATATCTAAAGGAACGTGAAAATACAGCACAATTAGTCTCAATATTTAAGTGCTTATATTACATCCAGGAAACCCTGTTGGTAAAAAATGTCTAAAACTATGTCTGTTCCTAACAGAATTTCCATAGCACTTTGCACTTTGTATAGCAAAAATAACAGAAATGCCATCAAGTACATGTATAAAGAGGGAGGGGGGCTGGGATATCACATGGTTTTCAAGAGAACGAAGTGGGGGTAAGTCGTCGACAGCAGAATTTAAAGGGACATTACAGAATATTAAATTGATTGGTTGATTTTTTACTGGCATTGTAAGATGATCTTTTACAGGAAACATTCCATTCGAAATGAATTGAAAACAAAACAAATCAAGAACATTTCTCAAAGTTCCTACATTGATAACTCCTGTTTATGGGCCCATAGTAACCCACTTGTGAAGCTGCTTCCTTGTTCTATAATATCTTTACAGGTGGTTTTTATCAGGATGAAATGGGACAAGTTGATTGTAAAAGATGCAGTAATGGTACATTCGTTTCTGCACTGCATAGTCCTGGGACCAAAGCGACCGATTGCGTGGCATGTCCTTACGGTAAATATAATGTTTGCTGTGTACTGTAACTTTTTTTCAACTTGACAACGCCTGAGGACACTTCCTACACAGTCAGATGTAGCCAAAACAACTCTATTTCTTCATAATGATAATCTAAAATGGATGATCCAAAATTTTACTCGGCCTGAGAACAGGTGGACGAGGCAAAAGTGATTGTTGATCTTTTTTTGGTGTATGTTTGATTGTTGTGGACTTTGATATGCATGTATCAAATGAATAATAATATACATGGAAAAATTACTCAGTTCTGATTGGTTAAGATAAACGCAGTTTTCAGGTAATTCATTGCAGAAGAGAGTTAATTCAGTGCAGAAGAGGGTTAATTCAGCGCAAAGAAAGTCACAAATCAGACAGATTGGTCAATAATCAAAGAACTCACAAATAGCCAATCAAATGCGAGCCTTGGATGTCGCAACAAAATGTGAAAATTTGTTGGCGAAACAATGGCCGGAGTTTTAAGTAGGTTTTCTTTCGCCACCGCAGCGGAAAAACAGCTCAAACGACGAAAACACTGTAAAAAGCACTGATTTTTGGTTGTCGGTTTGGAAAAAGTGGTGTTTAGAGAAGGAAATTGCCAAGGAAATCGAAATTTGCGAGCCGACCCAGCTTAACACTTTGCTCGAGCGATCCAACGCCGAAATTAAAAGCAAACATGGTTAAACCTCGGAAACGACGATTCCATTGCATCGAAAGTGATTCGGACACAGACTGAACAATTCCTTGAACTGTTAAGCCGGACTTTGAACTTTTTTTGCGCCGTAAAGATGTGAAGATATCATTGCATATTACTGTTTTGATCGTACGCGGGTGTTTTAACCGAACGCACGGTTTGAATAAATTATTTTTGCACGATGCGTGCGCTTTGCTTGTGCTTATTTGCGATAAGCCATCTCGTATTTTTGCATATTATTAACGTAATCACATGATTTTTCTGGTGCAATTTGGAATAAACAAGCACTTGTTAATTTTTTCAAAGACCACAAATTGCACTCGCCCTACGGGCTCGTGAAATTTTGTTAGTCTTTAAAAAAATTTACTCGTACTTATTTATTCCAAATTGCACTCGAAATCATGTGATTACCTATATCAAATGTTAATTCAGGTCGCTAGAGAGGTCTTACATCTCAGCCAAATGAAATAAGAGAGGAAGTGAGTGCGTGAAAAACCCTTTCCCACTCTATGCTATGTCACCTACAACTACTGATTGGTATTCCTATTGATTTTTAAAATCACTCTATTTTCAGGTACGCTTTCGAACGAGACTGCTGGATATCGTGCATGCAGATGTCTTCAAAGCTTTTATCGGTTGGATCGTTTTGGCCCGTGCTCAACATGTCCACCATATGGCTTTGTTTGTGAGGACGATACAGCAATACTTGCTCCTAACTACTTCTGGAAATGGTCCAATCAGTCTGAAAAAGAGCGTTTCAAAGGTTTTGTTAACAATATCCATTCTAATGGATCAGACTACAACAAGTCCTTTTCAATGTTCAATACTTCACTTCCGAAGCCACTCAAATGTCCCCATGCCAAGTCCTGCAAGGGTGGAATCGACTCAGAATGCCATCAAGGATATCAAGGGAATTTGTGTGCAACCTGTTCTAACGGCTTTTATTTCCGCTTCCACTCATGTTTGAAATGTCCTCACCTAACTGTAACAATAATCTCGTCTATCTTGGTGATTGTTCTTTTTGTTGCTGTGTTTCTAATAGTTCTTTGGGGTGACTCCAAACGTGCAGAGAATAACCGAACAGTTGCAGATGTCGTCATGTCGTGCTTTAAGATTGTGATTGGTTTTTATCAAGTTATTGCTGGTATTTTCTCAGCATTGGCGAAAGTCAAGTGGCCGATCACTTTGATTTCAGTGGAGAAATTTCTAAAAGTATTTGAAGGGAACATTTTTCAGTTTGCTCCACTAAGCTGCATTGATTCTTCTTTGCGTTTAGATCAGCTTGGAAAGTTTACATTGATCGTTGCCTTGAATGTCCTACTTGTTGGCTCACTTTTCTTGTATCTATCTCTTAAAAAACGCTACATCATGAACAAGAAGGACCTTAGCGAAAGCCAGAAAAGAACACAAGTTGAAAGTTTGAAGAAATCTTGCTATCGGAATATTTTCTTGCTGTTGTTGACGACCTACCCTACGACGAGCAAATCGATTATTCAAATTCTACCTCTTCCCGGTGCGTGTGTAGAAACGTGTTTCGCAGACGACAAGAACGAATGTATCTTCCTACTGAGAGCTGACTACTCCATCAAGTGTTTCACTCCTCGCCACAGCTTGTATTGGCTCATGGCTTCTCTTTTGGCAATATATCCCGTGGGATTTCCAGTTCTAGCTTTGTTTCTCACTTACAAATATCGTGAGTCCCAGGAAGACAAAGCAATTGCTTTCGGACTTCGAGTGTTCTTTGAGAACTATAAGAAGAAATTTTGGTTTTGGGAGGTCACAGAGATGTACCGCAAGCTGATATTGATCTCATTGATTTTCCTATTTGGATCCAAAAGCCTCCCTCAAATCAGCCTTACTGTTCTGACAGTCAGCGTCTTTGGAGTGCTCTACACCTTATTCCGACCAATCAAGGAAAAGTTTGAAGACCGCTTACAAACATTTGTCTTGTGGGTCATTTTCTTTGACGTTTGCCTTGGTGCAGTTTATACGAAATGGGATGAGAATCAAGAGGAGGGCAAGAACGAATCTGTGTTTGTAAATGTCCTCTTCGTTGTTCTCAACGCCTCTGTACTGATGCTTGCCATCGGTAAGTGCCTAAGTTGGGTAAACAATGACATAAGGAATGTGCATGGTAGCCTTTAAGACACATTTGCACGTCTTAATTAGCAAATGAGGTTTGCAAAGATCACTGAAGAAGATTGGACTTGGAATCTACTAACTTTTTGCACTACTTTATTCCAACCAAATATCGGCGTAAAATAGCGTTTGTAGTAGTCAGCTCTCAAAATGGAATCGGAAAAATTACATAACGGCCAACATTAAAATAAAACCTTAAGACATTAGGGACTTAGACAAAAAAAGGAAAGCTTCTTTCGATTCTGTAAGGCGTTATTCCTGATCATGATTCAAAATATTTTCTCTTGTATCTTAATAAAAGAAACTGCTTCTGATAATAAACAGCGGCAGCTGAGAAAAGTGTTTTCCTTCTTCTCGCGCCCAGTCTCTCGGCGTTCGCTAGTTATGATTGGCCCATCGAATAAATGGGGGATGAAGATTCCCGCGGTAATTCGAGCTAACTTTGTATCAGAGGAGTGTAGAACACTCGGGTTTAATGAGGAATTTCCTTGATTTCTTGCACGACAGTTTATAATAACAATTTAGGACATTTAGTTGAAGAATCTGCAAGGAAAAAAGAAACTTTGAATTATGTTTACAATGTCACGATTTTATTTTTGTTCTTTTATCTCCAAACGTCTCCGAAGGCAAGTCAATTTTTCTTCTGCAAATTATTACAACTCTTGTGTAATACAAAGCCTAGGTTTTCTGTTGAAGCCTTGTAAGAACCTACCAATAATAAAATACTTGCCGTCCCTACCATAGTGTTAATTTCATTTTTTTCTTTTCTTTTATCAGGAAAAGGGATTGTCCATATGATGTTATTCAAGAAGTATGTTTTCTTCTGTCCAATGCGATGTTGCAGTTTCCTGCGCCAAAAAGTCGCTCATCTTAAAAATAAAGCGGTCACAAGAACGGGAACATCTGATGAACTGCTCGGCTTCAATGAAGATAGCGACTAGTATTTTCTTGAGCCCTTCACGATAAGGGACCAGTCATTATTTGTCGTCTAGGGGAAGAGGGGGTGATAAACGGATGATTTGGTTTTTTCACTATAAAATTTACCTGATTACCCCATGAGGCTCGGTCAAGTGCTAATGATCCCTCTTTTACCCTAATGGTGATGACTGATGCCACTACGTTTCCCCTGAAAAACAAGTGATCCCCCAAACAAAATTCCTCCTCCCTCCGCCATAGCAAGATGCGTCGTTAAGTTACCAGACGGTTGTTTATCACAGCCGAATGAGAGGAGGCTGGAACCGAGACTAGATTTGAACTAGTAAGCATATAGATCAGAAGATAATTCTTCGTAACGAAATTGATGGAGCTATTTGTATTTTTGTCTAGAAGGATCGATTTTATGATTTTAAAACCTGCATGGGCGATAGGTATGGATGGTTCAGCTAGCATGTAAAAACAATGTATTAAAGTGTAAAACTTAAAAGTGCAGATGAAATCACAGATTTTTTTTTAGTAATTAGTAGGTTAGCCGTCAAACGTTCCAATCCTTATCAGTTCTTTAAATAAAATAGAACGAAAGAACATTCGATCAGTTTTCTAGATAAACAATTAATCTTGGAGGTAACCCTCGAAACCTTAGCTTTATTTTCTTCGTACCTTCGAAACATAATTTGAACCTAGCCTCGTTCTCGGGGCTTTATTTCGGGACCAGATCTCGACTACTGAGGGCTTGGAAATGGGCTGTACTAGATAAACTACCACCGTCCACTCTAAGAGCTTACAAGGGCAAAATAATTATCTCAAGAAACAGAAATACCTGATAACAAGGAACAGTTGGACAAAATTAGGGATACTTAGAACAGGTCACTAACAGCTCAAGTTGAAAATTGTCAAGCTGGCATTTTACAAGTTTATTGGGGTTTGTCTGGAATTCCCAAATAACATCTTTGAAAGTTATCTTACTTTTATTGCTACTTTATCTTTACTAATAAGACAGTTTCTTTCTTATTTTGCTTGCCATGCATGAATATCACCAATTCAACAAAACTTCCTTGAATTATACCTTGAGGCAGAAAGTCTGATAGTGCTATATAGTTATCAACTGAGTGGGAGAGCCAGATGGGAAGTTGTTTGGCTCAAGGTCATGACACATGGGCAGAAAAGTGAGCTCCACATCCCATGACCTTGTGCTAAATACTTTATTATCTAGATCTGGCCCAACCAAACTCATTTACACCTTTCAACCCCTAACAGAGACAAGTATTTTATTCCTCATTACAGTATCTCCACTAAATAATGAACAAAAAAGAAATGATCACCAACTACAGACTGACGCTCTTGATTCTTTACCAAATTCTTCTTGTTAATACCATTGTGATGTGCAGAGAAAAGTGTGGAGAATATGCAACTTCTGCTCCATCTCTTTCTATTTACATTTCTTCCATCTTGGAATGTCCAGTTTTTTCCAGCATTGGTCTGGCTGTCATGTACATCCCTCGTAGAGGGATTCTGCTCTAATATGTTCCATTAAAAATTGTCTAGAGCTGTACAAGTCATTTCACATATATATAACCTTATTCCATGTATAACACAATCTTTTGTCTGTGGAAACTTTTAACTAGCACATGTAAAAACTTGCCAGAATCAAGAAAGTTCACTTAAAAATCTTTTTTTTTCTTTTTCAGTAAAACATATCTTATGACCTGTTAATGAAAAGTCACACCATCCTTTAAACGCATGAAAGGGAAAACTCACTTTGTTAACAAGAGAAACTCCAATAAAACAAAATAAAATTTGAGCATATGCTGCCGTTTACCACTATTGAATGAGTTTTGATTATTACAAGGATGTAATTAGTGCACATAACGAGTGCACTGCATTACAGTATTTCCCACTCAAGGAACTGTGATTCTGGCAAGGACACATACACCCTACTATTACTAGCAAAGCAAAGTGACATACTTCAAAAATAAGTGTACACAAGTATGGTGAATGTAATTTACACATTAATTGCAAACCAAAGAACAAGTATAGTGTATGTGTAACTCCAAAAACGAGCTTTGTATCCTATAATGTGGAGAAAACTAAAGCCTTCGACATATGAATGCTGAGATACATGAAACACATACATGAATTGAAATCTCGTAACTTGTTGTAAATATGCATTCTCATTATTGTCATTCACTGTAAAAAAAAAAAAAAGACCCGTTTCTACTGGTTAGAAACAAGACAAAACTTCAATGCTGTATAACAAAAATTTTAAGGGTTCTAGATTTTCTTACTTGATGAAAAAATCAGACAAAATAAAACTTTCTTTCACTCAAACTGAATGGAGTAAAAATTTCCAGATTTCTACAATTTGAAGTTGGATTTGCACAAAATACTCATCTATAATCGCCAGTCATTTTAGAGTAGACATGCGTAATGCTTCCTATGGTCGATAAGCAGCTCTGCACTCAATCTCTTGTCTTGCCAAAAGAACGACGATGTGTGAAAACAGAGGATCTCAATTGGAGGGGGGATATCTTAACTACTAACGGTGAAAGGTTGATTTCAGGCCATTTGAAGATTGATGGATGATTTTCAAGTGAGACCTGTTTCATGAAACACTCCCTTTTTTTGCAAATACTTGAATACACAAGGTTTTTCGTTTCCTCCATTCAAATTAGGACTCTAGCATCAAAATAAAGGCTTTCCCTTTAGATCTATCCACACCTTGAAAATATTTAGGCCATCGCTGTTTCCTGATGGTGGCATGCTGCTGTGACAGGCATGGCTTCTCACGAATCGTGAAATTTGAAAATTTAGATATATATATATACAAACCAATTCGTTATGTTGTATCATAAGACCCCAGGATGGATTTCGTGTCAGTCAAACCACTTTTGTTTATCTCCAAAAGAACGTCTGAAAAAAATTCAAAGTATTCTTGATTGTATCAAAAATTGATTTTTTGAGATCTTTTTATAAATAAACATTCTCTGAGAAAAGTCATGTCTTAAAATGTCAGTTGTACTAGAAGAAAAAAGCATTAATTTTGAGCTGATGATTTATTTCGACCTCATGCTGCTATTGTTGTTGATGCTGTTTTTCTTTACCCTTTCCTGATGTACTTGTTTACTTTCTTCTAGAAACTCACGTGTTCACTTACTCAGATAAATTGACAGCAATTCCATCATTTTTAAAGGTAATCGATTTATTGACATGAGCGAGTTTCAAGCCTCCTTGAGTTCCTCGCTTTTTACCCTAATTATCATCCTTAGCTTCAATTCCCATTAATTTTTTCTGTTTTATCACAGTAATTGTTTTCTGGCCATTCAGTTGTTATTAACTTTTTCTTGGCACTAATGAGCACTAGATTAAGTTCTGCTTGATTTGCGTAAGTCATAGTGTTAAGAAACGAGCAGTTTAAATAAATATATGCGCCCGATTGAAAGGCACACTCCTTTTTTTTCCTCTTGAATTACCAGATGCTGACCGTTAATGGAAGACTGAAACTTTTTAACCAGGATGGTATTATGTTTCTTTGTCTTGATGCCGTGGCTAAGGGACACTAGACTGAGTCGAACAAGGAATAACGACCAAGTGAAAGATGAGGAGAAACGCGAGAGCAAAGTGGAGGCGAAAAAGTATTTTCTTGCAGAAGCTATCCTTACATCTCTCATAAAAATAATTTCATCATAAATATGATAAAAAACGAAATTAGTTAATCATTTAGCTTCTCAATCGCTCGAGGAGAACGGCAGGGACATATGTAAATAGAACATAGGATAACAAGTGTAAGTCTGGTATATGATATACGATAGGCCGCTGATTGAAGTTGTATAGATACTTAATTTAAACTGTCACAATGAAAATAAATCCACCTTTTACTCTTACGGCATCTGTCTTCTCATACATTTCTATAGGCAAACCCCCACCCCCTTCCCCCCTTCCCCCTTCCCCTATTTGATCTTGTGTACGCACAAGATAAGTATAAGCGATTAGAGGCACGGCCCTCTTTTGGGGAAAGGAGGTGAAATGCAATAAGTAAGGAATACAGTTTGTTAAAGTTGAAAAAGAGTGGCAGCTCGTGGTTGTAACCTTTTTGTCCCTTTTTGTAGTCTTATTTCGTCAAAGAGCATTATATTGCCAAGTGATCGCCAGTTAAGGAGTTACGCTGAGAACGTCTCAAGTCCAACAATATACCCTTCTTGGTCTCTCGGACTTTGGAGGGAGCACCGTGTATAATATGCTTTTTCAGAGTCCAAAAAGCTTAAGCCCGCTTGTTTCGCACTCTTGGAATATCTTTTAATTCAAATTTATACAACCTTGCGATTTTTTTTTCTTTCATCCGCGCGAACTGTTCCTCTTTCCTTATTGCAACCCATTTTTGGTTCTTGTTTTAGATTCAAGGCTGGTTCATTTTAACAACGCGTTTTTGTAGTCACAGAGGACTTAAACCAACTTTGTCCCCAGTATCCTTTTTTTTTACCAACCTGTAGGAATAAAAATCTCTCACAGCCTATTTTCAGCCGTTTGTGAAAATATTTGTGGTAGCCATGACCAAGAGTTTATAATCTCTTTCCTCAGATGACATAAAATATTTTTTCCAATTTTCTACAGGGTCCACCAGAAACTTAGTGGAGATTTTTGACCATGTTGACCTTTTTTTGTCATAGATGTCATGTTTTTCAGTTCACGTGCTCTTCTTTGAGGAAGTATATTTTCAGCCGCCGTAATTTACTTATCAAAAATCTTGACAAGTACGAAACAGGATGTACACACATAAATACAACTAATAAGATTGTATTGAGGTATTTCTTAGAGATCTAAAGTTAAGGCCTGTTTACATGGACGTGGGTTACCCCAGGTAGGTGAGGTAACCCGCCTAGCCGAGGTCGATCAAAAGCCCGCGTTTACATACAATATTACAACCCCGGGATGCTGGGTGAAGTTTCTCGCGGTTGTTATCGCATTTGTAATTATTAAGAGGCCGTGACTGTAAATATCGAGAATCGCTGGCCAGGTTAAAAAAATCGAAAATTCTGATAATTTGCCTGGAAAACCCTTTTAGGGAGATATATTCAAAAAAAAATTTCAAAGTTTGAAAATTCAAATGTGTCCGAGGAAATGTGGAAAAACGAAAATTTGGGTTTTTACCTAATTAATTATGCAAAAAATACAGTAAAATTGACCAATTCTAGCGTGCTAGTACTGAACGAGTATGTTTCGCAAGAAATCGGGGATGTTTTTACTTCAAAGTATAATTCATTTGATTTTTTTGTGGCATTTTAAGGAGCTTTGGTTCAATTTTAAAATTCACAGTTTTTTTTTTTTTTTTTTTTTTTTTTTTTTTTTTTTTAACAAAGTGCTGTCAAACGCTTGTTGCAAAAAGAGAAAAATCGAGCAACTTCAAGCCTTCAAAACGCGTCTTGGTATGGGTGACATCATGTCAAACTACATGCTGGTACAAAGTTTGGTCCTTAT